TTACAATTCTACTAGATTATCCCATGCCATGCAAGACGCTATGTCTTGGAGAGGATGGGTTTTGAAGACCATGAAAATTTCGAAACAAAGAAAATACACCTAAGGACCCATCATGATATGGATTTTGAAGTAAATCTGTGCAATGCTCAGAGCATAACCCATTTTGGTTGCCAAAATTGGGAAGCACTTTGCAAAATGTATTATTTTTATGAGGGTATAATTGTCACCATGGATCTTGGTGATCCTGACATCGAGCAAGACAATATGGACATTTGGGTCCTTGTTGATACGCTTCCGATTGTACCGCTATGTGAGTTCCTCAAACATAGTTATTAACTAATTTATATTGTTTATTTCAAAATAGTTGATAGCTTATTTACATTGACAGCTTATTTTGATTCTTCAAAGACTGTGCGGAAGATGGTAGATAAAACCCACTACACCGATGGCACCGAATTAACGTATAAGGAGAAAAATCATCTGATCACATTTTGTACTCTTCTTGAGAATTACAATAACTATTATCGAACTCCTCCAAATTATGGTGAATACGTGCCACTAGTGCATGTGTTGAACCACGGTAACTTCTCTGGAGATACCCTGGTAAGATTTTTTACTATTACGACATCCGTGCATCTTTTGCATACTTCTAAAACTAGTACATCATTGCTAACTACGAAGTTATTATTATGTTTTTCAATAGAAACTCCCGATGGATTGTGTGCCTCATCTGATGTCTCTGAATGGTCGCCTCTCAGTTCTGAACATACTGCCAGGTAAATCTAGGGAGCTCACCTGTGCATATCGGATTTCTAAAAACGGTGAACACATGATCATCAAAGAATGGAAGAAATGTATGGACATTTGCAAGGAGGTTCTTGGAAGTAACATTCAGCGAAAGGCAAGAATTGGAGACAGGCTAATCTCCATTCTCCATAATGGAGAGTCAGGGGCTATCTTGTTTTTTGCTATTTTACCTTAGAAAATGTAGTAGGTCTTAATCGAATGTGGTAGGTCCTATGAGGTACAATATGTTTATTATGTGGTAATGTGTTAGAGTTGATAATGAGGAGTACTTGTGATTACGACTAGTGACCAATTTGCTATGTGATGTCATTGATGAAAACGATGATCTTGAGGAGGTGTTATATGACAATGATGTATTATGATGATAAGTTGTTAATGATATGATGATGATGATGATGATATTATTATATCATTGGGTGAAAGAACCGCGGATTAGTTTCAAGTGGATGGACATCCACTTGAAACTAATCCGCGGTTCTTTCCCCCGTGATGTAATAACTCATTATGATGTAAAAACAATTTCTAAATTCATGTTGTATGAAAACTTGTGTAAAGGTGTATGAATACAACATGAAATAAAAAAGAAACAAAATACTAAATAATAGTAGTAGCGCGGGAAAGGAGAAGCGCTACTACTAATTACCAGTAGCGCGGTTCTGAAGAAGCGCTACTACTAAGTCAATTTAGCAGTAGCGTGGGTCCAGGCGCGCTATTGCTAAGCATTAGCGCCTTATCAGTAGCGCTCCTGCCCGCGCTACTGATAGGCCTAAAACCCGCGCTGCTGCTAGGCTTTTCCCTAGTAGTGAGTTCTTCCGTGGGCAACATACACTCGCGTCGGACCGCACCTGGCTCGCTTCATATCACCTCTGAGGCGCCGCACATACTTGGTATTACGCTCTCGAGCAGGACGAGGGCGGCATGCCTCCATGGGAGCATTTTCGTGAGCTCTGCCTCCTTCGCTTCGGGCTGCCAATACGTGGGAGCCAGCTCGCGGAGTTGGGTCGTCTTCCCTTCACCTCTAGGGTGCAGGACTTTACCGACCGCTTTCAGGCCCCGGCGTGCCACACGCCCGGCGTGACGGCTCGCCAGCAGGCTGAGCTCTTCGTCAGCGGCCTGCCGGATCATATCTGTGTGGACGTGGAGCTGCGGGGACCCTAGGACCTCCATACGGCCATGTACTACGCCCGCGCGTTCGAGTGCCGCGCGGTGGCCATCCAGCAGGCGTCACCGCCCCCGGCCGCTGGGCCGGACGTTCCAGCACAGGGTCGTCCCGCTCAGGCTTCCGTGGCACCCCTCGCCGCGACCGCGGCGCGCCCGTTCCGCCGGCTCACACCGGCCGAGCAACTCAAGCGTCGCCGCCAATGGTTGTGCTTCAACTGCGACGAGCCCTACGCGCCCGGCCACATCTGTCCGCGACTCTTCTACCTGGAGGCTGCGGACTACATTGAGGAGGATGTTCGCAGCCGGGCTCGGCGACCTGCCCGCCAAGCTGCCACGGAGATGTTTGGTGACGGTTGATCACCTCAAGGAGTTCCGCAAGCGCTTTCCCGCCTTCCAGCTCGAGGACGAGCTGTTTGTGCAGGCAGGGACAAATGTTATGACCGGCATGTTAGGGGCTTAGCCTAGTTAGTTGTGTCCCAGTCTATCTTATCGTCATTAGGGGCTTAGCCCAATTATCGTTATTAGGGGCTTGAGACTCAAGTAAACCTCTCTATATAAGGAGAGGAGATGTATCAATCTAATCAAGCAAAGAAGCAATCATATTTGCTCGGCTTCCTTAGGGAGCCGGGAGACCTAACCCTAGCCACCTCCTTCCCTGCGCCATCTCCCTCTCAGCCGCCGCTTCCTCGCGCACGACGGCGCCCAGCCGCCGGCAGCTGCGAGTTCGCCCACGACCAGCTCCCTCCTTCCCCTACAACCTCCGGCCTAGACCTGATAGAACCCTAGTTTCTACCATACGCGAACCCTCAAACCCAGCTCATATGTGAGGAGAATATTGAGGTGTCTGGACAGCCCGCCACATCAGATGTGGCTCACTCAGACCACTTTAAATCTTCTTTTTTCTCTCACCCCCTTCAACCCTACTAATTATATGCATGTGACCGGACAATTGGGAAAAACGACCGTGCGCATGGACAAAGCAGACACGCCTGAACATTATCGTGTGGATTAATGAGGGGCCAGATTAGTCTGATCCGGTTGGAGATGATCGAAACTGGTTAAGGCCCCCTTATGAGTCAGGAATATCGCAAGAAATGAGATGACATCTATCTCAAATCTTATAGAAAAAGAGATGTTTGATGTATAGAATATGAATTTCTTCATTGAGTATAGGCTAATATCATATTTCTTTTAAAATGTGAAGAATTGATTCTTATCCTATGTAGAAATAGAAATTCATTCCTATAGAGTTCCTGCAAAACCAAAAGAGGCCTAAGAGGTGTTGTAGAGTAATCAAAAGCTGCTTCACCGTTAATTACCAGCGTGTGCTGCGGCGACGGCTTCTCCGCGGGAATCCCTCGCTCGCAGGTCCGCCCAGCTGGCGCAGCTTGGTTGCTTCAGGTAGAACGCATCCAGGACCTCCACGGAATTGCAGGTCAGGCTCCTGCTCCCCACACCGAACCGCACCAGCGCACGCGCCATCGCCTCCCGCGCCACCGTGCTGGCAGCTTGCGACGCACCGTCGACGGCGATGCTCCAAAGCGCGAGCAAAGAGAGGAACACGAGCAAGCGCCTTGTCGCCGGCAACCCCATGCCCATGCGCAAGGCTAAGAACTCACTGGTACTGCTTAGCAAGGTGCAAATAACTTGTTCATCAGTTGGTTTATGTAGGTCGATACGTGACAAATATATACACTGTCCCCGTCTGCTCGTCGTCTCCATGCCCATACGCCGGACGGCCGCACAGCGTGGTGTTGCCAAATTTCCAGGAAACTTCGGAGAGCTAGCACGATGACTTTCGAGTCTTCGCTTGGTACGTGCTCCCGGAAATATCCTGGGGTATATAGCCGTGCGAATCAGGGCACGCACAATCACTTCTAGTCTTGGATGGCTGCAGGCTGTCAATTCAGCTTGGTGGTCGTCGCGTCGGAGAAGGCGATACGGAGGCAGTGGGTGGGACGACGGCGAGGTAGACTCGAAAGGTGAGGTCGACGGAGCCGTTGGGTTGGTCAATGACTGAAAGCGAATTCAGATTCTCTTCTCGCCCCTTTTCTTCGTGCAACCCCTTCTTCTTTCTCTCTCTACTTTCTTTCTCTGCAACAGCACAAGTGTAGAACAGTACTACAGCAAGAATTCAAGAGCTGGCTGGCAGTAATCCCCTTGTACAAATTATAAATTAAATCCTTGTCATAGACTGCGATAATGCCAATAATGATAATGTCAGGCCAAACAACTCATGCCGGCGACGAATGCTAGAAGTTGTTACCATGGTATATGCTCGTTACAAAACTAATCAATGAGCTCACTAATCCTGACTAGTTCCAAAAATACTCCACTATGAGAGAAGAACGAAGTATGGTGAAAATGTTTGTGCGCTTCAATATGCAATGCATCTGCCCTCTTAAAGGCTCCATTCATAAGTGAGTATATATCCAAGTAAAACTGAAAAATGTACTCCCTCCGTCCGGAAATACTTGTCATCAAAATGGATGAAAATGGATGTATCTACAACTAAAATACATCTAGATACATCCATTTCAATGACAAGTATTTCCGGACGGAGGGAGTATGAGTAGTAACAGCGGCAAGAATAGACCAACAACTAATCCTACATAACTAAAGAGATGTCTCCCATCAGGTATTTTTTCTGCCTTCACAAATAAAAGTGAGTCAATTTGCTAGGCTTTCAAATAACATAACAGATGAGCGGGATGTCATGGCAGAGAAATTGGATCTTAACCCCATCTAAAGTGGGGCAAAAATTCTAATCCCCCCGTCATGGCAACACCCAATGGGTAACAAAACTGGTCTAATTCCTACATGACCTCCAAACAAATTCACTAAATTTCACAACTGTAAGTTGTTCCCTCAATACATCAGCATACACTATTTTAAAAAAGGGAACCGCCAAACTATGCTATCCTAGTAACCAGAAATAAAATACCTATCTTGATACCTGAAACTAGTGCTCCAAGCTGCTACAAAGCTCGGGCTTCAACCTTTCCCCTGTCAGGGGAGTATCAACATGAACATCACAACTCAGAAGTGAAGTCATGCATGGCACTAGCCCCTGTAGCTCCATGAGGCTGATTCACACTGTCGTCATTCCTGATGCGTGGCCCGTTGAAGATTGGCAACCTCCAATCCTTGGCGCCAAGAACGAAATCGAGGCATTGAAACCATTTATGCAGTGATGTGTCCCAGAGCTTGCCGTGCTCCTGGTAGACGAAGATTGCGAGTTGGATGAGGAGCACAAGGCCTGACACGGTGCCACTGATGAGGAACAACCCACCAAAGCTGCTGAAGCCAAGGCTGGACGAGCCGATGCTATTGCTCTTGCTCTGACAAGCTCCTGGATCACCGAACCATTTCTTCTCTATCCGTTCCATCTCCTCTTGTACTGCAGGAGATAAGATGGCCTGCGATACGTCATGCACAATTGGCGACCCTATCGGGAAAGCCTAACACATGCAACAGAAGTCAAATACTCAAATCCTACTCATTCTAGAGTAGATAAAATCTTTAACCAGCCGAAGGAACTTACAAACGCGAAGCCTCCCAACCTGTAGGTCGGGCCAATCATGGTGTAACCTTCACAGTACTTTGAAAGGAAAGCCTTTAGGTAGGGGATCTCGTCAAATATTGCAGACACCCCTCCATTGCCGGATCCCCTGCGCAGGGCGTCGGCATACTCCTCCACTGTGCTATAGCCCAGTAAAATTTCCTTGCGGAAGCCCATTTTCTCAAGCCAGTATGGCACAATGGAGCCATTGTGATACCCCACGTAATCACCATTTCTTAGGAGATCTTGCACGCTAGTCACTGTCGGCTGAAGCCGTTGGACTGTCAGCACTGATGTTAAGTTTGCCGTGTAGCTTGATGTAAGAATAAGGACAAGAAAGAGCCATATGATAACCATGAATCTTGACAGGTTGCTCTCCAGCTTCTCCTCTAAAATTAACATGTTTCATTTTTGTCAATTCCCAATACTTCAAATAAAGAACTTGGACTAGTGAAGATGAGATGAGGAGATGCATACTGTGGGAGAAGACAAGAGTCGAGAATGCAAAGTAGAAGACGGTGCCAAACTGTTGGCAAGGTGTGCCTCGGAATTTGGGGTTGATTCGGTGCTCAACCACCCACACAACAAAACCGGTAAAGCAGAAAAAGGCAAGACTGGTGATCCAGAGGGTAGTTGTCAGTGGCTGCAGGAAGATCCACATGCCCCCGTCCGTTTCTTTCTTCACTACCACTACCATTGACAATCCCGTATCAGTGAAGGGCTTTGTGAAGGACACCACATTCATCCTCCTCATCGTGATGGTCGTATCACCAACCATGCCATCAGCTTTCTGCAGTTGTAAGTTGTAACTAAAGAGTTATTTTCTCATAATTCGCTAATGTTCTCCCTGATATCTACTACCAAATCTGCACTAACCTTTTCATGCACCAGGCTGAGAAGATTGTCATAGTTTCGCGAGCTATCACTAACTGGCACATATTGGTAGGCCACTGGATAGGGCAAATTCTTCATGACCATGTCGAAAATGTCAATACAGTAGCCTCTGATAGTAGAACTATTTGTTGTTGGGCTGTAGGTGACCTCGACAAACTGGTTAAACCCCTGTTTTTCAGGCACAACAATACGAAGAGGCCGCCTGTTCGATGACACGTCCCACCCTTTTGGAGCAATTGCTAGATGACCTGGCCAGAGTACTTGTTTCAGCCCTTTCACACTATTCGTTTCCAAACTCTTCAAGATACCAGACTCGGGCGTCCAGAAACCGACTGTTCTTGCACCTTTACCGACGATGTTAATAACCTCATGTGTTGATAGCTCCAGCTGTCCATTTACCAGCCTGAACCTCCCAGACAACCCATCAAATGTGGTGTTGAGGACTGCGCCGAGAAGCATTCTCCCAGGTGTTGAGCTGGACATTCTGGCTATATGGACTGCTTTGGCAAGAGCCCATGCAGTGTCGTAAGCCCAGAGCAGTTGCGTGCTCGGGTTGTGCACATTGTGAATGCCTGGATTCTCTAACAGAAATCTTGACTTCAACCTTGCAGTGAAGTTCATGATATGGCCAGTTGCCTGCACATAAGGTCGGAAGGTGACGACCCCCTGCATATGATCAACCTTGTCAATACTCAAGCTCTCCACTGTACTGCCAATGCTGGAAGTGGCTATCCAGATATAGCCATCAGACATCATACCAGCGACAGTCGCCTGGTAGAAGACGCGAGCAGCAAGATCTGGGGCCATATGCACAATGAACACTCGTGTGGGCGTCTCCTTGAGATTGTAGAGTACTTTGTCGAGGTAGTCCTCAGTCACACCGACAGGCAGAGCTATACTATCCATGACACGTATGTTGTAACCCTGAAGGACGGAAAACAGGGCTGCAAGGATGCGAGCTCCATATGGCGAGTCTTCATACACCACGGTGGTGGTACGCCATGTGAACATATCAAGGATAGCAGCAACTGGAGCAACCTGAAAGGACTCATTGGGTGCAATCTGCAGAAGGAAAGCTGTCGATGCTGCAGAAGTTGGAGCCAAGGAGAGGATTGGAGTGTGTGTGTGATTCCCAAGGTATGCAATGAACTCGGATTCGGCTGAAGTTTGAGGCCCAATGATGGCTTGTACTCGATCTGTTCTGATCAGATCATCGGCTGCAAGAAAATGCACAGCACAGAGATTAGTCAAGTCAATGTTGATCAGAGATGGACCCAAACCTGTCACTGCAAAGCATTCATAGTATATGTAGTATAGTAACTAAAGGGAAATTACAGAGTATTCTGCTTTTGTGCATTACTAACTAGTCTTTTACTCCCTCCGTCGGAAAAAGTTTGTCTCAAAGTTGTCCCTCAAATGGATGTATCTAGCACTAATTTGGTGCTAGATACATCCATTTGAGGGACAAGCTTTTTCGGACAGAGGGAGTATATACCATGAGGTGCATGCCCTATGAGCACTCTGCTCTACACGACCCAAACACACAGTAGGATTTAGCTTTCAAAATTGAAAGCTGAGATTTGTCAAGGTATGTACTCCCTCCGTTCGGAATTACTTGTCTCGGAAATGGATGTATCTAGAACTAAAAATGTCTAGATACATCCATTTCTGCGACAAGTAGTTCCGAACGGAGGGAGTATTATAAAAGAGCTTTTTTAAAGAACAAAAGGAAGCACACGACCCATCGAATTCATTTTAACTTCACATGGCGCACTGTCTAAGAAGCTCCCGGTTGAGCTTTGGGTGCACAGGGCCAGAGCCCAGAGGGACGCGGCAAAATAGAAACTTAAACGGCGCCTTGGCTGGAGAATGCATCATCTCCTGGGGGTGTTTTGCATGTGAAACTCTATTGTTCTGCTGTGCTGTAGTGTTCATTTTGTGTTCATCTCTGCCCTGCTACTCTTCTCCTCATTTCTGCAAGTTTTAAGCTTGTCTCCTGTAACTTGTTCTGAACAATGTCCCAAAGCAATTTCTCTTGTACATTGATTTCCTTATGAAGAATCATTTGGGATTCTAGTATTCCACCATACTTTCCACTCTGGTAAAAAAAAAGTCAGATCTGTTGCTAAAAAGATGAACGAGAGATGAAAACGCACCTAAACAAGGAACGCCAAGAAGATTATCCGATGACCTGGGGAAAGGCACGGATCGCTGTTACTCCCGGGAAGCATCACCGCGAGTGCGCGACAGGGCCGCGACCTTGACGCCTGCCATGGGTAAGCCAAGAAGCTTGTAACGTCGTCGCGGCGGAAGCGGACAAGCCTGCGGCACGGCAGTGCAGGAGGAGGGCGGGGAGGGGGTGCGCGCGCGAGGAAGAGGTGGACGGGCGAGGGGACGTATGGTGGCTCTGGCTGGCTGGCTGGCTGGCTGGCCGCCGGCCGCGGAGGAGAAGGCGAGCGCTGCAAAGCGTCGGAGGGGCAAATATGTCCTTTTCCTCCCTCTTCTCCTTCCCATTTAGGGCATGTAAAATGGTGTTTATCTTAGGAGTGTCACAATGGATAAAAAAATGAGATGAAGGAAAGAGAACTCATAAAAAAAAGGCTTGTCGACAAGAGATAATCTCTTAGCATAATATGTCTCATCATGTTTTTAAAAATAGCTAGTTATTGAAGATAAGGCTAAAAGCTAACCCATTGTAGATATTATTTTTTTAATATCTAAATTACATGCAAAACTTAAGATAAACCTATCTTATCAACCATTATACATGTCCTTACAGATTTACTACCAAAGGTCAATGGTCATTTTTATTATATAGAGAAATTATGCATCAGTCAATTTTTTCAGCCATTGGATTGTCTTCCACTTCTTCCTCCGCCAGCTTCCTCCTCGTCATGACAACCATGTCTGCCACCAACCCAATCGCATGTTCCGCCCCGTCCTTACCTCGTCATCACCCTTCTTCATGCCCCCTCCGTCTAAACCACTCCACGATTCCATCATCGACTACCTCCAATAGCCTCCCGCACTAGAACTCGTCAACTTCCGACTCCCCTTCATTAACGATGTCTTTGTTGCATCGCCTTGGACTCTAGGTCGCTCCTGACTCGTAGGGGCGGATCTAGTGAGGGTGCTATGGGTGCCATGGCACCCCTCTAAAATTGTAAAATAAATTTTACTATGTATGTTACACTAAATATCTATGAAGTTGATGCTATTTTAGAACTATTTATTGAGATTATGATAATGTTTAGTGTAAATTTTGAATCGTGGCACCCCCAATGCTGAGATTATAGGTCCACCATTGCTGACTCGGCCTCGCTGATGTACCCACGCCTCATTCTCTCTCGTTGCGGTGCCACGCTCCGCCTTGGGGCTTCGCGAAAAATGGATCGACGTGAGTTAAAATTTTCAAAAAAAATGTGGCAAAATAAATATAAGAAACTTATATGGGGCATTTTGTACGTGAAAAATAAAGATGAGGCATTTTGTTATTGAACACTTCTATTTTTTCAAGAAACATGCTTTTGCCCCGCTTCATAAATAAAGCAACACACCAAAGTACACAGTTGAACGATACAATGTGATGAGAACATGTTCTTACAAAGCAGATCTAAATATACAACATGAAATATATATAGAACTAGACTAACACCTTACCGAAGCCCAACCTATGGCGCATGGGGAGAGTATCCTGTGATATCGGGGTAAATGGTGCTCCTGTGATATGGGCTCGTGGGCCGTCGGATCTCGGATCCAATTGCATCCGAGGAGCTACGGTAGTTGTTGTACTTATGTGCATTTTTTTAGACTTCTTGAGGATTTTAAAAAAATTGTTCATCATCTCACCGGAGCCTTTGGATCTGAGATTGAACACGCGAGCTCGCACGGGAGCACCTGAGCTTAGGTGCTCCCGGAGCATCCAAATATTTTCTCATGATGTCTGAGCTCCACTTACTTTAAGCCAACATGGCGAGGAAGCCCTTTTACTTTTTAAACCTAACTTAGTGGCTAGTGTGTCATGGTTTCGCTCAAACCACATTGTTTCGAGTATTTCCATCTACTTTAAACGCAAAGCTAGGAGTATAAAAGAAATAGGAAACTTATCTTAAAACTTCTTTTGAAAAGAAAAAATAAAATATTCCTGAAAAGTTATGCAAAAAATATGGGATTCATAATATTATTTTTAAAAAACCTTTAGTGACTTCACATATTTCATGGTTATCCTAAATATTGAAGAATTCTCATATGTTTACAAAATATTTTTGATTGTTACACACATGTGTAGAATTAAATCTTAGTAGCTTTACGGAAATGTTTATGTTTCCCCTAAATCAATGACGTTTTTCCCCCTGTGTTTGGTAAACTCTGTCCTGAGTCCTAACTAATACTCCCTCGATAAAAATAATAAGAGCATTTAGATCATAAGCGCTCTTATAGATAGAGTATATTGTTTGGAGCACTGCTACACACACGATAGATTCATGCACGATCTGCGCACTACAAACGCATGTGCACCCTTGGGGTTGCCTCGTTTTGTAAATCTTTGTGGCCCAAATCGTGACGTGTGTTATTTGTGAAACCTCCCACCACGTCGAAGCCGTTTTGCTAGCGCCATAGATGCGAAGGGACCAAATCGGCCCCGTTGACATAATAGAAGTTGAGATTGGTGCAATGAAAGTAAGAGCATGGGATTTTCAGAAAACAGTATCAGCTGATAATGGCCGAATAGTCGGCATGAAGAAGCATTGGCAGTGTGTTAGGCTTACCGGCGGTCGCTGCCGCGACGACCTCTCCGCGCGAGTCCCGGACGCGCAGCTCGACTCGCGCGGCGCCGGAGCCGGCGTGCGCCGCGTGGAAGTCCTCCAGCGCCATGGATATGCAGGTGAGGCTCTGCCTCCCCGCGTCGCTCGTCAGGTCCAGCAGCGCGCCCACGGCCACCGGCCCAGACGGCGGCGACCCTCCGGCGCGCGAAAGAAGGAGCAGGGAGAAGACCGCCGCAGAAGCAGCGAAAGCGAGCACCGACATCACCGAGCGGAGCGGAGGGCCAGGAGGAATCCTTCGACCGGCGGGTTAAAAGTCATCGTCGACGTGCCAAATATCTCGTCGCTCTCTGTTGCTGTCATCTGTGGAGTGGACCGTCTCTTCCGTTGAACTCCTCGCCTCGCCTCGGGCAAAAAAATGTGCTGCTTTGACTTTGAAGTTTGAATGAAGTGCAGAGAAATTCTTAAAATTTCTAAAGGATTCAGTTTCACGCAGAAAAAAAATGTACTCCATATTTTCAATGGAAATCAATGAATCAGAAAAAATCTCCACCCATCCATTTAGTAGTGACCCTGAACAGTGTAAAGATTCTTTTCCCGATAAAGCATGCTTTTATTAAATCAAAATGTAGCACCAAGAGAATACAAAGGATAATGAGTGTACACCCGTCCAGAATACATGCAAAACAAATTAGAAACTTAGCGCATGTGGTACATTATCCAGTGATCCCTTAACACCAAGAGTGCTCAGATTCTACTTGTGCTGAAGACATCAGCCGCAACCTGTAACAGCAGCTTTGCCTCGGTTGTTCTGTAGTACGCGCAGTCCTCGTCTGTGTAAGAACCTGACAAAAATTCAAGCCAACGAGCCGCTTGAGCTATACCATCTTCGATCTTTAGCCGCCACATTTCATTTTATCAACATTGGTCAATCGTAAGCAAGCACGGTCTTGGCGGAAATCCTGGCTAGCCAGTTCCTCCCGTTGAGATAGGCTGTCTGCGGACTGTTTCACTGACAATATTCTGGTAAGAACGAAAGGCCTAAACAAGCTTGACTTTGAAAGGTACCTAGCCAAGAATGATCCTGCTGTTGCTCGGAAGATGAAGTTGATCAAAAAAAATCGCTGAAAGATACCCATGAAGATCCGAGTTCGTCAGAGAATCTAGCGGATGCAAGATAACTAAATTGGAGCATGGACGAGGAATCGACGTGCTCTCTTCATCTCATTGCAACTGTCCCTGTCTGTG